TGGCACTATTGCTCACAGCCCATTTTATGTTTAGGTTTAAGAATCTAGAGTGTATTCCACATCCTGAGCCTTGTTTTGTTTTAGAACCGTCGGTGTAGATGCTTAGCCTAGAATTTATCATATTACATTTATACTATTATCGGGTGTTAATCTCATACAGCCTCCGCTGAAAGAAGATTTTCAAAATTAAAACTAATACAAAATTATTTAAGAAGTAGCAAAGACTTTCAGCTTTTACAGTTTCATCTAAATTAGAATACAGGTATTAAGATCAGTAAGGCTAAAATAGGGTGACCATATGTACAGCATTTTCAAAGTCAGTCCATCGTTTTATCTTTACTGTAAACGTACAGTAAACCACCGTATTTGTCCAGCAGAATGCTATTATTACAGAAGTAGTCCTTGATACATCCCAATGTCTAATTTTCTATTGAGAGTTGCAATGTTGGTTGCCTTTATCGTGACGTGAGCTATTTAAGAAGTATAATATTCTCTAAATTTAATAAATATTATCAATAAAGGAAAATTTAAATTATTTTTAATTCCGTAAATTTCATTAATATAGAACCTGTAACTCTAATCTTACAATAAATGTCTGCCGACCAAAACCGAAAAATGAATTTAATAATTTCGCACTTTCCACCGTACTACGGAGAATCAACCTTTCAGATTGCGAGTCCAAAGAAGAATCGACTGAAGATCACCACCTATAGAGCGTTGAAGAATTCATCTCGAAGTGAAAACTTGGGAGATCTTAAGCAGTTTATCAGAAGGCGGTCATTGTTTTCATCTTAGCGCTATCTCTTTCTCTGTCTTTATCATTCTCTTGCTTAGGGGAGACCGGAGACGTTATCACGATGTATCGGTCATTGTTAGTTTGTGGGTCGCACGGGGTTAAATCTGGGTAACGTGATAGATTGAATCAACGAAATTAAGCCTGACTTATGAAGAAAAGCTATCAATTGTGGGCAATAACTGATTTTAAATTTTCAAATTTTATTAAAACACTACTAGGTACTTTGATCTTAAAAATAATTTGGTTTTTTAAATTTTAATTTTGGTACCTATAAAAAGTTTTAAAAAAATTCTTACGTCCTATCATTTCGGGAAGGGGTTTTACGATTTTCTTATTTTTGTTTATACAGGAAGAGGGTGGGTCTAAAACTATTAAAAGTTTGTTTACCTAATACTATGAACGCCCACTTATATTCAATGGACTTCTATTTATTCCTATTAATATTAATATTAAGAGCATCCAATTATTTTTTAAAATGACGCTTCTAATATTTTTACGTTAAAAAATTAGAATTGATTTAATTATACCTACAATATTTACATTATCACAGAAGCAGAAAGGGTAATTAATTACATCTGACGCGACAACAATAATTGAAGAGTTTAATGAGCCGCCATTTTTTCAACACCTTGCCAGGTTGTATGCAACCAACATTGTATGTACATATCAAAGCCAGAAAAAATGCAACCAACACTGTTAATCTCTGTGAAATACGTTGCACACATTAAGGCTGTTTAGTAAAGTTCATTAATATTGCAAACTACAATTTTAAAACAATAACTAATCTGAATTCGAAAAGATTCATTCACAAATTGTAGATATAAAAACAAACATCGACATTTGAAACTTCGCATGAACAAACCACAAAGCATTAACGTAGTCATTCATTAGCAAAAGTTAAATTAAATACAATTCAATATATCTGTTTATACATAATAACATAAGAATAAACAATAACAAAAACATAAGAATGATAAATCTTTATGTTTATGATTATGTCAAAACTACAATTATTATGCAGGTGCATGACTAGAACTGCAGACAATTTTAAAAAGTGTGGTTAAGTTATTGACCTAACTTTAAACCATCGAACTTCTGAACTCATTTTCTACGTTTTTTGATAAACAATAATTGTAAGGTAACTAGAGCAATTTCAGAAGCAGCTACCACACGTCTTTTTCCCATTCTTAATTTGTTAAATCTTAAGCTTATTATTAAATTTTATTTATAAACAGTATTGTTTTAAAATCCCTAAATCTAATTTAGGCTTATGGTAATTGTTACCTTCTTTTTGATTTATACGTTGTAAATTGTACTTAAGAGGTGATTTAGCTCAAATTGCTGGTACTTCAATAATTGACCAGGGCAAATGAAATCAGAGTAGCTTGACTTGTTCGCGGTCCAAAGTCTACTTTACGATAAAATGAAAGATACTATAATACGATAACGACAAAAATGTTGAGAGCCACCAAGTTTTTGAGTAACTTCGAAAACTTATCTGATTTTATATGCCCTGTTTAATTGAGTCAGTCTCTGATACCTAAAGTTATCTGGTATGAGTTCTGGCAAATAAAAGAAAGTGAGAAATTTAATACCTTTTATAAAAAAAAATAAAAAGAATGAATTTATAATTTATACAATAAAGTAATACTTAATGATTAAACTTGAAAAATGAATTGAATGAAGTTGAATCGATATTTAATGTGTTTAATTGTCTCGACCATGTGGGATTCTAATTGCGGTACTTCCCTGTCGTATGTCGTTGACAATCTGCCTTTACTTAGAAACTTGGAGCTTGTTTGGAGAAGCTACATAACCTGGAACTTGGAACTTATACTTGGAGCTTGGAGCTCGCACTTGAAACTCGGAACTTGGAGAAACTACGTAACTCTGAGCTTCTTGGAGAAACTACGTAACTCGGACTTGGAGCTTGGGAGTTTCTTTGGGCTTAAAGCTTGGACTTTAAAGCTTGGAGTTTCTTGGAGCTTAAAGCTTGGACTTGGAGCATAAAGCTTGGAGTTTCTTGGAGCCACTACAGGTTTAGAAATAAAAAGAACCTCAATAACAGTAATAGTACATCTACAGTCCAGTTTGGAAATCTAACGGACTTATGCATAAACAGAACCAATATTAAAGTTACATCATCTGAACAGAATATAAAATATTTATAGGGCGAAAATAAGTTAAGAGCCATAGATTTCCGTTTAAACTATATTTCCAGACTGACTTGTAATTCAATTATTTAGTTGCCTCTCCGCGTATATATCAAAGTATAAAAGAAAGCTTAAAAATATTATTAGGTAGGGTAGCTATAATCTGTATAGTAAAAAAAAGCAAATGGCCGATCCTTTCAGTTTTCCAACTAAATCCTGCAAAATGTTAAAATATAAGTTGAAAGAAACATTACCTGTCAATTATTCCAACGTTAACACACAATCAGCACATATAAAAGACAAGATAATTACGGAAATCTACTCATAGTAGCTTATTTATCGGCACACACTACCACATTGAACTCGATGAACCAAAAGGCCGGTTGAATCAACACGAGTCGGTTTATCTCGGTGTGGTTGCCCAAAGAAACACTAGTTAGCGAGCGGTTGTCGTTTAAATTGTGTTACGAGGTGTTATGGAGAAGTTGTTAAAAATAAATTTGAAATTAACTTTAAATTAATTTCACGTAACATTATGTTACTGATTATCAACCGTCGTATATTTCTCTAAGTATGTGATAATTTTGGATTTAAGTATATGCAAATATTGATTTTTAAAATTCAGCATAGAATTTTTAATAGTGCGCTACCCAACTTTCTCAAAGTTTTCTTTTACATAAAACAAACAGGTCAAAAAAGATACAGAATATTTGCGTTCTCTACAGCTTCCTTAGCTTTATAATCAACTTGTTTATTACCAATTACTGCCTGCGACTTTAATCCAAAAGGTTATTTTGAAGTTTTTCGAATACTGATGAAAAAGTAATAAAATTATTAATATTAAAGAATTTTTATTGTTTTTATAGTTATAGTTAACAATAGCTTCTACAACTGTTTCAAATTTCAATTGTTTAAAAAAATAGTTTCTGAGTAAACGCTTGTTACAAGACAAACACGCTAACATGATTCCATAATTGTTTCTTTTTGCCAAATTAGGCAGGAAACCCTAAAAATCGTGCAGATAAAAGAATAGTAATATTCATTTTAGAGACTAACTAAAAATTATTACTGACTAATTTGTATTGGTTTATAAATAATTATACAGGTATGGAATTTTCAACACAATGAGTTGGACAAAGTTTAATAGAAACATGCACATAACAGAGAAAGACTGTTGTCAGTGAGCAAGGATAACATTTTGACTTCTGCTCGCCCTACTACATACATAAGACAGAAATTTATGGGTGACGAGTGACAGCGGTCTGTGCCTGATATGTTCATGTTCCTATTATACCTTGTTTAACTCATTGTTTATTTGTGATGTTAAAAATTTTTTACTTGCTTCTAACTACAGATAAATTTTGAAACAAAATTTAAAAAAGTGTCCCAAATTTTTTGGCCCAGAAAATTTCCCGATAAACGATAGAACATTTTGAAAAAAAGACGAGGTTAATCAAAAAATAGAAGGTTCATTCATGAAAATCTCTGCAGCACCTCATATATTTAGTTTGTATGCTGAATTAAAACTTTCGAAAATTTTGACGACATATCAATGAATTTAGAATAAAAACCTTTATAAAATATGACAGGTGCTATTACAAAAAGTGAGGTTAAGATGTAATTGTTAATAGCTAACGATAATAAATGTAAATATTTCTTTCTATTCTTAATCAAGCAATAATGCCTGTGTCATTTTGATATTTAAAAAAATGGTGGATTGGTCTGCAAAAAGTTAAGCCATTTTATTAATGATGTCTTAAATGGCGGAGACTGTGTGGTTTCTAGTAGTTATCCTATATAGTATTGAATGAAAATATAAGTTAATCAACAAGTATTTATTTGTAGAAAACAAATACCACAACAATATAACATGAAACAAAGTTAAACAATAACAGTTTTTGCAAACGATCTACTAAGTAATTTCATCTCCCATGTTTTCCTCTTTTCCCATTAGTCTCGTCAGCAGCTAACTTCGTTGGGTATTTAGCTACGTTACGGATGCGAATCGGGGTCAGGTCGTTACAATATGATTCATGAGAAATGGGGAAAATATGAGATTCGTCAAAAAATTGAAGGTAAATTCGTTAAAAACCTCTGCAACAGCGCACTCAAATAGTTTTGTTTATGGTTTAAAAGCACTCGATAATCCTATATTTGATGGAAAAAAGTAAAATACCCGTAAAAGAAAGGAAAAGTGTAAGATATACCTAACATTATTAAATTACCCTAGGATATACGACAGGTGTTATTACAAAAAGTAAGGTTAGAGTGTAATTACAAGGTAACGATAGTAAATGTTAATTACTTTTTCCTGTTCTTAATTAAGCAATTATGCAGGTTTCATTAAAAAAATTGTGGATTAGCCAAGTTAAATATTTTGTTAATGGTATATTAAAAATGGTGGTGGACACCCAATCATGGCATGGGTATAAGACGATTCTATAGCGAAAAATATTAAGTATTTGATTTAATAACTGAGGGTCAAATAATTATACACACTGAGATAAAAGATGTTAAAATTGTAATAATAACAGTGGGGGTTGGCTCAGTGGTTAGAGTCATGACTTTGAGATCGGAAGGTCTCAGGATCGAATCCCACCGTTGGCCGGGATTTTTTCATTTAATTTAATTATTTAAAATTAATTCTGATGCCTTGGTAGGATTCCCCACTCGACCATTCACTGTTGGGTTCTAATTAACAGTGCTGTTCCTAAAGTGGCGCTGGGAAACAGTAACAAAGCCTACACAGAACACGAGGCTAATGGCCGTAGTAGTCGATGCCGATGACACCAAATTAAAAAAAAAAAAAAAAAAAAAAAAAATAACAGTAATGTTATATTTCAGTTATTTTATCACGTATAAACCTAAAAGTCGGTACAATTTAGTTTTTTTATGTGAGGAAATCGACTAAGCTATAATTTTTGGTATATCGCATAGCTCTTGATTTAACATAATATTAGATTTTCACCAGTAACTAATAAAATTCTACTATTCCTTACAACTATTTAAAAATCAGCTGCCCCGCTCTCCCCCATTTCGGTTCTTCGCTCACGATCTATGCGCTTATTGCCCAAAAGAAAAGACAAATTAAGTTATTATCTTTCGTTCGGCAACGTGATTGATCACAGCAGATATGATTTATGTTGCGTCGACTTATTACCGGAGAATTCATTTGAAGTTACTATACCTATTACGAAAAAAAAATCACGCTTATTTTTGTTTTATTCCGCTTTTCTACTGTGTCGAATTCTAATCTGATTTGGTGTTTCGGAAAGAAGATGGAGGAGCCTATTTAGTTTTCGATTGACATATCATTAACAATCTAAAACAACAGATAGGTACTGTTAAGGTGGTATTTAATAAAAGCGGTGTATGCAAATTAGGCCAAGAAGTTGTTAATGTTCTCAAAGAATATAATCCGCGGCTATAGCTGCTGTTAAAAAAATTGTATTGATATTGTACGGCAGCGTAGAAGGGCCACATTTTTTTTATTTTTAAAATTCCATGTTCGAACACGGAATTCCTTGTTCGTGCACGGAATTCCGTATTCGAACATGGAATTCCCTGTTCAACTACGCAATTTCCGTGTTCATACAAAGAATTCCTTGTACGAACAAGGAATTCATTGTTAGAATACGGAATTCTTTGTTCGAACACGGAATTCCTTGTTCAAACACGGAATTTTATTTTCGAACTTTAAATTTAAATGGCGTATTTACAGGTTACTCTTGGGTGACTTGGGGATCTTGGGAGGAATGGGTAAATACGGATTCTTTGAATAATCTCAGATTTTTACTTTTCTCGGCTTTTGAAAAGAGGGATGGCGTAAGTAGTACCAAAAGTCTTGCCCTCTTTGGACTCTGCATAATATTTTTCCTTTAATTTCATTTCCAGGTCATTCTTATTTCTTAGGGTCTAGTCCCCGATGCCCAAATTTAATTTGAATTGGATCAAAATAAAGCCCTGTATAGCGTTTTAAATTTACCCTCCTTGCCTCTCTAGCCCAGATGATAAGAGATGGATAAAGTGAGCGGGTGTTTCCTAAATCCAATTATTAGTTATCTTTAGAAAAAAGTGAAGAAATGGGGACTTGTGAATAATTTTTTTGCTTGTGTTTCTATTAAGAGGTACTATCAAAAAATGGTGGTGCTATTTAAAAAACTAGAGATGACGTCATATTTAGAAGAATGATGACACGTCATAAAAATATACTTATACCAAAATATGAGCATCTGAAAAACAAAATCCACTTCTGAATGGAAATGGACAAATAAATTTTTTCGTCGTGTATGGAAACCAAAGGTCGAACGTTTCGGTGTCAGTCGTTTTTTTACCCCCACTCCCTTCCAGTCTTCAAGAGCACCTTAAAAGTTAATTTAAGATAAAATTGTTCAAGTTGAATATTTTGGACCAAATTATGAGGATTTTCAGAGCATCCGTATCCCCCCTCCCCGAATTTCCTAAGTTCCCCTAGGACGTCCTTGTAAATATTACTAATTTCCGTGTTTGAATACGAAATTCCGTGTACGAAGAAGAAAATTTGTAATTCCGTGTTCAAACACGGACATTTATGTTCAAGCACGGAATTTCGTATTTAAGCACGGAATTCCATATACACACACGGAATTCCTTGTTAGTACACGGAAATTCCGTGTTAGAACACGCAATTTTAGATTTTCGTGTTCTAACAAGGAATTCCGTGTTTTGGTAAGGAATTACGTGTTTCAACAGGGAATTCCGTATCGAATGGGATTTTATGTTGTATCGACAACTTTATTTTTCGTTTGTTGGTCAGCGTTTCGGGCGTTTAAGACCACTGTGCATAGTGATAATTTAATTTAACACATTTGCAAAACTGTACAATCAACTAGGTACATCTCGTATTTCAGAAAGAATTTTTAAAGGTATTTAACGCTTGTACTTTTCTCAATAATATGTATTCAATAAAACCTATGAAGAGCAGGGTCTCAAGAACCGGATCTTGCGGTACACCTTATATTCGCTTAATATCATTTGATATAAATCCTTGATGTTGAACATACGTCTATTTAATAAGTTAAATAAGAAGATCAGCAATGGGATTATCTTTCAATACAGCATATGTCGTTCTCTGTTCTTATATAATGTAATGTAATTTAATGTAATGTAATGTAAGGTCATGTAATGTAATGTAATGTAATGTAATGTAATGTAATGTAATGTAATGTAATGTAATGTAATGTAATGTAATGTAATGTAATGTAATGTAATGTAATGTAATGTAATGTAATGTAATGTAATGTAATGTAATGTAATGTAATGTAATGTAATGTAATGTAATGTAATGTAATGTAATGTAATGTAATGTAATGTAATGTAATGTAATGTAATGTAATGTAATGTAATGTAATGTAATGTAATGTAATGTAATGTAATGTAATGTAATGTAATGTAATTTAATGTAATGTAATGTAATGTAATGTAATGTAAGGTCATGTAATGTAATGTAACGTAACGTATTGTAATGTAATAGATTATGGTCAATCCTCTCGAATGTCTTAGAAAAGTTGATATAAATGACATCAACCTAACCTATTATTATATCAGTACATAGTGAGTCCTGAGTTTGGACCTTTTAATCAATTTTAATAAAAGTAATTTTGTTATTATTAATAATATTATTATTATTTTATTTATACAGGGTGTATCAACGATAAGTGGGTGGAAGATAGCTGCTTTCCTATTTGAGATAAGAAAAATGTCTCAAATAAAAGTTGTAGAGATCAATAAAAAGATTGATATACAGGTTATCCGATAAATGTGTGATTTATCAAAGTTTTTTTTTATATAAAACATCCTATATACTTTCACTCGATTTAATTCCTTTAGAAATGTGTCTCGGAATTTATGTCACAAAATAGGTTTATTCAACACCTCAAAATCAATGATTTGAAATAAGAAAATGTTTCCAACAAATATCCTCTAAAATAGTTTATTTTAATTTCCTATTCTTAATTTTACCGAATGGCGCTTTTCCCACACAGGTGTAACCAATTTTTTTGCAATAGAACACCATGTAAATATGGCCATACCAAAACAGTCCTCACTATATTAAATGTAGGGTTGGCATACTTGATTTCCATCGGATATGTATCTAATTCTTAAAGAAAGTATGAAAAAGTCGTAAAACCAATTCATTTATGTATTTAATGCTGAACAAAAGAGGTAACAAAATAAACTCAAACAATTTAAAAAAGTGTAAATTTTGAGCTTTGCACAAATTAAGTCTATCTGCAATTCGAAAATATATAGGCCATTTCATTTAAAAGAGCATAACTTTGGTAAATCATACATTTATCGGACACCCCGTATATTGGTAGTTATAGTTTTCATTGCTTCATTGCCCTCTAGAAGTTTTATTTGAGACATTTTTTTTATCTTAAATATGGAAGTAGCTATAATCCACCGACGCATCGTTAATACACCCTGTATGTCTTGATTTTAAATGCAACACATTGTATTATCAAGCTATAAATTAATTTATATGTATATGTGTATATTTCCCCAGCATGAATGGAAAATAATAATCTAAGATATTGTGCCCAAATTTTCCACTCATCCTGATTTTTTCCCGTAGGATATCTGAAATCGTATTAAAGAAACTTACCAATTAAAAACCCTTTGAAATATTTAATTTTTCCGTTCCGCCGTCATGCTCTTGAAATAACCGAATACCTGCCTGATACAATTTTGCGGTCAATGTTAAATATCTTTAAATCGTTCTATTGTAATATCGATAAGTTATGGAAAATCGACGGGGACAAATTGAATCGATTCCAGAATACAAATAAAAACCGTAAAACGGGTAGACATGCGTTCAAAAAAACCGTTTGCGGTTTCAAGATGAAATTCAGAGCATGATCGTGCATATTATATACCACCAATATAAAATAGTTAACAAGGTCTGGGCTGTAACAAATTGCTTTGTTAACATCTCACTCGGTTCCCAGCATTTATATACCTGCCGTGTCTAATTCTAATTCTAATTTTTGTTTGTCTTCACTATAGTTGGCTGCCAGGTATTTGTTATTAAGTTTTTACTTGTGATGTGATCAATTGTGGCCAGTTATTTCCTGGCTAATTCTTGAATAAATGTTAAGAGAAATCGAAAACGAACACATCGTTATATGCATTTTATGATATTTATTGATGCTATCCAATATTTCTCAAAATCGTTTGTTTATTCATCAACAATTTTTAGATGAGTCACTCGTCGGATTCTAAAATTCAACTAGATTCTCAGATGGTTGTAATGAAATCGTTTTTATTTTTATTAATGGACTAATGGATCAATCGACTCTTTCTCTTTCATTCTCGTATCCTTCTGCCTTTTCAGACGTAGGATTGGAAACTTTATATTTCTTCTGTATTCCTGGCTAGTGTCTTCATCTCTATCAAAGGTTTCCTCTTACCAATTCAATATCTTCAATCTAATCAATCCATTTCTTCGTCTTGCTTTTTTTATTGATGTTCCTATTTTTATTACTTTCCTCGCTACTCTGTCTACCTAGGTGATCATATCAGTTTATCAGTTTCTTTTTGATCTTTGTCATTATTGGATCCTGTTTAGTTATTTTTCCTATATATTCTTTCCTTCCTCTGCCTCATTTATTTTTCACCGCGGATTCTGATAACCCATGCTACGGAGATGCTTCCGTATTAGGCAAGTATTAATGTGGTGTTGTTAGAGTAACTTGAAAGCCCCTGGAAACTGCAGCTTTTTGTTTTGTCTCATATTTCCTTGAATTATACAAGGAAATCTGCTTTATTTTCATCTGTCGCTATCGATGTTGTCAGTCTAATGGAAGGACCAGGTCCAAAAGTATTTGGTTGGCTACCTTCGTGGCTAGTGAATCAGCAAGAATGTTACCTTTCGATGTAGCGAGACCTTTGATCCATATTGGTAGCCGCATTGTTGATGGTTTCTTTGGCCGAAGCTTCCTGGTTATCTAGTACTGTCCCTGATTAAATTAATGGTCTATCCAAGTAACTAGTTTTTGTCTGCTTTTATGTTTAAGTTTAAGGATCTAAAGTATATTCCACATCCTGAGCCTTGTTTTGTTTTAGAACTGTCGATGTCGATATATGAATTGTACCTGCCACTTCCGGCTCTTCTATTTGTTCCGTTATAACTTTATATGACTTATGAAAGATATATCTAGGTTGATATAGAGTCCATGTTCACTTGAAGCAGTGGAAGCATATCTAGTGCCTGCCGCCAAAAATGACGTCTCGCCTCACCAGATCCTACATCAGGTTCTATTCCAACCGTGTGGAGTCGTGTCATTCTTGTGGTGTCCCCTTAATATAAATATCAAGGCAAGTGAGACTAAGAATGACTTGCATGGTTCTGGTTAATGTAGTTTTTATGGTTCTTGTTATGTTGAGGCAGGCATGCTATCTTCAAGATTTGCAGTTTCTATGCTATCCTCTTTGATTAGCGCACCAATACTACGGTGTGGATCTCTTGAGAGATACTTTTGGAGCATTTCTGTCTGCACGAAGTCTTCGATTTCGTCGCAGTACTCTGTGTATCTCTGAGTTTTTGTCTAACAAATTTTTTTATATTCTCTAAGGAGAGATTTGTAAGTTTCCCAGTCCTCTTTGAATTTTGTGGTTCTTGCCTTATTATAAAATTTCCTAGTCATCTTCCCGAGGTGTTCCAACTCGTAACACCACCATGCGGTAGTCATCTGATCATATTGGACCAGCCTCAGAGTACTAGAGTACTTGAGTCCAAAACAGTGTTCACCTCTTCAGGAGCCTCTTAGAGAATATGAGCATAGGTTGCTTGTTCCGTCCACTTAGGGTTCCTAGATAACGTGGGGATCGGCAATATCAATTTATATTTTAATTGTTAACCAGCTATTGACAATAAAATGTTGTTAGATACTTGCCTGTTTAGAATTGATTTATAGATACTAATTGTGGATAAAGTCATATCTATTAAGAGTTTGCTTGGAAGAATTTAAAAATGTTGGTGTATCACCTTTATTTAAAATACAAAGATGTTTGGTAATTATATAATCATAAACTGATTTACCTCTAGCGTTTTTATCCTGACTGTCCCAACTAAAGTGATAAGCATTTGAGTCGCAGCCTATTACCAGCTCAAACTTTTGGCTTAGGCAGTATTCAATCAGATCCTCCATCTCTTTGCTGGGTGGTGGGGTGGTTGCGTCGGAGGGGATGTATACAGATCCCAGGATCAACGTTTTTTTTTTCGTTTTTTATTATAGATTCCATTTCTCTTGTCCTTATGATTAATAGTTTTTGCATTTTTTTCTAATTGTGCTATCTTTATCACGTCATTTGCATTTAGAAAATTGTTTAATCTGTCTCCAAATTTTTGTATTCTATTATCATGTCTAAAATTTGTCCTGGTTCTTTTATTACCTTTACTATTTTGTCCATTATAATTTAGACTACCTTGTTTTATAACTTCTTCCGTTAGCTACTACTATATTTAATTTTTTGCAAATTTTTATTAGTTGGTGACATTTTGCAGAATATTTATTGGAAAATAATCAAACAACATAACCTCAAAAATACATTTATTTTTTACTTATAGGCATTAGTATAAGTTTTATATTATTCCTTAAGTTTTAAAGGAACTACGGGATGTTTTAGTTTTCACGAAGTAAGCTATAAAACTCCTAGAATAAAAGTTTTATTATGAGGTTTCCAAGAATGCTATAAAACCTTCTTATAAAATTTTAAGCAATCAGCACCAATGGATTTATAAGTTAGATTCAATATTATAAAACTTAAAATTATTTTGTTATTTATTGGGTGCCTTACAAAACTTGTAATACCCATGGTTTTGTTATAAAAACTATAAAATCCTCAATAAAACTTAAATTTTCTTGTAAATTCTGGTGTCACAGGTATGTACAATTTCCTCGGAGCCGAGAAAATCTCTTACAGCAATAACTTGCTTGGACTCTAATCAATGAAAAAAATCATATGCCTTTTTGACAACAAGTAAATTATACCTCCGTCTATGCAACACTTTATACATATAATTTGTAACATTAACAGTTTAGTTAGGATAGTGACCAAGATGTCAAAGCCAAACAAAAAAAACACTTTAAATATAATTAACGGAGTTTATAATATTTATAAATTTATATGTGTTATTTGATTAAAAAAATAATATTCTTTTAAAGTATTTTTTACCTTTCTAAGGACCGTAAGTAAAACTTTCTTGATACTGACAGATGTCAGCATAAGAAAAATATTTTTTTTCAGTCATTTCGTCCGTACTAACTTCAGGTCAGTGAAAAAGACATCTCGCATACCGGCCGAGAGCTGTCTTATTCGAGATATATAAACATTAGAACCTTTGCCCCCGACCAGTACAACCTCCATTGATGATTATGGTAAAAGTGCTTGTAAAACATGAATCAAAGAAGTTCTTGTGTTTTAATATTTCTAGTACCAGACACGATAACTTTTTTTCAAAGGCAGGATTGTTGCTTGGAGTCGTGTGTTGACAGAAGAAAAAATTGAGTCATTAAAAGTGTGCACCTCTAAATTTATTCTATATTAGAGTAATCAGTTATGAATGTACAGGGTAGATTGATGGGTTTGACGTACATTTGTTTACTATGTTTATTTTTTTTTATTATTTAACATTTAATTTAATTCTTCCTCTCTGAGTTGGTATATAGTTCATTTTCGTGTAAAATTTGTAAAAATGGTCTCCAAACGAATTGGTTAAAGCAAAATAGCTTTTTCTCTGTGTATTTTAGTATACAATATATTAGTAATAATATGTAATAAACTTTATCACCAGCCGTCAATAAAGCTATGCATTACCATAGCGGTTTGCGGAAGTAAACAAACACTTTATCTCACTGTAAAAATCAAATATATCTGACGCTAATATTTATCAACATAGCCATGACCGTCTGACAGAAATAGTCTGTTACTGATTTGTTTTGTATATACTCCTATTTTTCTGTTTTTTTACTTTATCATACTAAAATGGGATGTTATAATACCTCCTTGTTTATTAATTATACTTATTTACGGTTGGCGATAAAAGTTTGTGTGTACCACGTCAGCAAAGTGTCTTTATCGAACTCGCCTACTACTCGCCTCGCTCGCTTCTCTCGCTCTGCTCATAATCTCAGACTAGTTCGATAAAGAATCACTTTGCTGACTTGATATATAAATAACTATTATATAATATACAATAGCTATTTTCTAAACACTTTAACTAGTGCCGAATCGACACGTTACCATGGTAACGTCTCTAACAACAACGCAAATAAGTCATCAGCTCATCGTGACGTACATACTCTTCTCTTTTCGAAAGGATTTTACATAATATTCTGTTTATACGATATACCCAAACTTATTCCTGTAATTCTACAAATTTTACAACTTTAACAACAAACTAACATGTTTTCTGCTTTGATTCCAGGTGGCGCCGGTCTCATCCAATGTGATAAACGCCACAAACCCTAATGGAGATTCTTGGACTGATCTTTTAGACGATTTCGACTCACCTCTACCTCTCGATGCCAGCGAAGGAGGATTTTTCTCGGGAAATTTCGTGCCTCCCCCACCCCGACCGCTTTTCCTCGACGAATCGGCCACGCCGGATGGACTAACCACGTGCGATCTTTGCACGTGGTCGTGGCAGCATCAGGGTGGGGGGTACAGTCTCGACATGTCTAGAGGTAAGAACAATAATTTCAATTTTATACACCTAGGCTGATATTATAACTTGTTCGAACGCAAAATGTAAAAAAATAGAACAAAGTAATCACTGGTAATGGATATTTTAAAGGTTATTTAAAATTATATACTCGTATATTGGTATATTTGAAATTTTGAAGACGTTATAAATCTAGTAGGTACACTCAGCTCTCTTAATTCTCCCTAAATCTACCAATGCAGCATTGGAGTAATCGGTCGAGGACATTCGGGCGCGGCCGATTGGACGCAGCCGTTTGAGTGCGAGGATATTTGGACGCGGGACATTTGGGCGCGAGTAATATACAAAAAAATAAAATTTTTAATAATTCTCATCGTAACGTTGAACGTGAGAGAAAGAGATATATGTTTTCAATTATTCTAAAACATGTCACAATGATTGGATGTTGTTTAGCTGCAGAAACTCCTACTAAATTCAATGAATGGTTATCACAATTTACAAATAATGCTTTATGATTTTTTCCATTATTCTTTGTTGAACGCAAGATGTGTGACCTGCCATCACGGCAGAATTATCGTAACATTGTGATCTGCAGTTTGTTGATGAAATTGTATCGGAATGTAATTTCTCTAAAATTGTATTTTTAATCGAGGCTGCATCTTTAGCATGTATTTCAATAAAACTCAAGAAAGATTCTTTGATGGAAACTTTTTTATTGATAAAATCAACATCTACATACCTAACGACTTGGGACATTGAGAGATATCAGGAGTTGAATCAAACAAAAGTCCATAATATTTATTTCTTTTGATATCGTTTATTAGTTGATTTCGAACTGGAGATGCCAGAACAGAAAATGAATGAATTCATTTTGAATCTGTGGTGACAAATATGACACAGTTTTTGGAGTTTCTTAGGCATTTTTAAGATGATTTACTAGTGGCTTTTTCTTAGTTGAATCGTACTCTACATATGTATAGAATCACAAACGTGTCAATCGCGTTTGGCACATAGTATTTTATATTAAGAAACACACTGGTGTTAAGTGTGCACTTGACACATTTATGATTCGTATTCGGTGACACGAGGACAACGTTAAGTGGCTGTATATTAAATGAATCCAAAAAAGGAAACCTATGATTATTTAATAAAAGTATGATCTGTCTGCACAATCTTTCTTTGAAATAGATACACACAAAGTTCACAGCACTAGAAGACCATTAACGCTTTTGGAATTTCCATCGTGCAACTTAAAACGGTTGTACACTCCGAAGCTTCCTATGTCATAAGCAAAAAAGGACCTCCTTTTAGAGCTGTTAAAACTAAAAATTATCCTAGAAGATTATACACAATTTACTGCAAGGATAACAACTAATAAAATAATAACCAACTCCATGTAAGATTATGAAGAAGACTCTGAAAACTAATGTTATCAATATTTATACTCAAGAAAATATTACAAATATTTAATTTCTGTGCCATCAATAAACTTTTTTGATTCGTTTTTGACATGTTAAAAATAGGAAGTAATTAATTACAACTCGTTACATAAATGAGGTAAATGCACAGGATTCACTTCTATGTGTTAAGTACTATAATAATTAAATTTGTACTTTAACTGCTAATTAAGTAACGTATAAAACATTATTATTTTGCTATTTTATGTAGTCAGAAACAACGAAGAAATCTTGAAAGGCTTTGGCAAATACATTTCATATAAAATAACAGAAAGCTATCGCTTTAAAACTTTAAACTTAAGGAGGTCCTTTCGCCACCAATGTTAAATAAAAAATATTGGATTATGACTAAAATTAATTTTTTTTCTAATAGTTGAAGTCCTTATTTATTTAATAGTGAACTTTTAACTATACCTTACCGTGCAAATTTTTGAGAATTTAAATGTGAGTATTTGTACAGTGTCTTATGAAAAAGTAAGATCTCAACAACAATTCTCGAATTATACTATTATTTATTGATTCTGACATAAATAAACATTCTTCTGTGCAGTTTTCTATATCTTGGAGGTTTGTTTGAACAAGAAAATCATTTGTTTCATATAACTGTGGTAGGTTAGGTTAGGGTTAGGTTAGGTTAGGTTAGGTTAGGTTAGGTTAGGTTAGGTTAGGTTAGGTTAGGTTAGGTTAGGTTAGGTTAGGTTAGGTTAGGTTAGGTTAGGTTAGGTTAGGTTAGGTTAGGTTAGGTTAGGTTAGGTTAGGTTAGGTTAGGTTAGGTTAGGTTAGGTTAGGTTAGGTTAGGTTAGGTTAGGTTAGGTTAGGTTAGGTTAGGTTAGGTTAGGTTAGGTTAGGTTAGGTTAGGTTTGGTTAGGTTTGGTTAGGTTAGGTTAGTTTAGGTTAGTTTAGGTTAGGTTAGGTTAGAATCCCTGCTATTTCTTGATTTTCGAATATTATGCGAATTCCACTCACACAGTACTTGTTCAATTTCATCCTGAAATGTAGAGCAAAGCAATTCAAAACTATTACATATTTTCTGTTTTTGGCAGAATGTTTCTAATAAATTTGAACAGTATATTAATAATGTCGATGGGGGCAACTTGACTGAAATATTTTTAGGAAGATGGTGGCATTTCCGGTAGAGTACCTGTACCATGGTAGAACTAGGTAGAACAAGGTACGTTCCAAGTTAAAAAGAGATATCTATAGTGTTTTCTCTCGCACATTATGAGCTAGCCACCACAATATTGAATTTTTGACAGAGAACGTTATTAATTATAAAAGATGTTCCAGAGAAGTGACCATCGTCCTTTATAGTTTCAAATTTCAGATTAATCCAAAATTGAGAATTATGTTTCCTTAAAATAGACCACCTACATTTAATTCTTTGATTAGCCTAATCTGTTCCACACAAAAAGGCTGGCCTAGTTGAATGTACATGTTGATTACCTTGGCTTAAAAAAATCTGCATATTTTCTATATATTCATTTTCAGTACCCATATATGATCGTATAGTTAAAGGGCAACCTAGTTTTTTCACGGCCTCTAAATAGAAACCAGCTATAACTCTTGGATTATTTGTAGTGGAGAATGCTTTTACCAAAATTATTTTCCTGGAAAAACCATGTATACAACCATTTATAAATATTCCATAGGGCTTTAATTTATCTTACGAATAAATCTTCGTGCCAGATATAGTTTGGTTGGTCCTTTACTACAGCACTGCTGTCTTCTTAATTTTTTTCTCTGTATTAAAGATACTCCATGAGGGGCCAAAATTTTAAGCAAACTGCGAATAGTGTCTTGTTTAACCGTAAAACCAGCTTGAAGGCATCGAAGATGCATCCATGTAAATAACTCGAACCGTTTAGTTCGTTTTGTATGAATTACTGTAATGTATTAATAATTGTATATAGCTTTTTTCAAAACAAATTAAGCTTTTGTAGGCGCCGCTTTAGAGAACGCACGCTCATATTTATGTTATGTTGCATAAGACATTCTAAAATCTCAAAATACTTAAGACCCAAATGAAAATAGTATTTGATTAAATCATTACACAACATTTTCCGCGAGGTACTCACACACTGTAACTATTGTAAACACTTTAATCTATAGCTAGACTCGTTAAATACTATTTGACTCGAGTCAGTTATAATGTGACTTGAGTCAGTTTCTTTCTGACTCGAGTCAGTTATTATGTGATTCGAGTCAGTTATTATGTAACTCGAGTGAGTTATTTTGTAACTCGAGTCAGTTATTATGTGACTCGAGTCAGTTATTATGTAACTCGAGCCAGTTATTATGTGACTCGAGTCAGTTGTTATCCGACTCGAGTCAAAAAAAAAAAAGAAAACAAAAACGTTTGTGGCCCCACAGTGCTTCCATAGAATTGAGCTTTCGAAAATTGGCGACACTTACCTATGTAACTTATTTTATAGACGTTACCGAAATAAACATTTACGATTTTAATTTATTAATGCTATTCAGTGAGGACCATTGTATTAATGACAGTGACTTAAGAGCTTCCCGCCCTTCTAAGTCGATAACAAATAATTTCAATTATTCGCAAGGTGCAAAGTATATGGTGGGGACAGTCGAATCGACAGCAGCGTTCGCAGTGGACAAAGTAGGCATTAAATCTGGATTTTGTTGTGAATAAATTAATAAAAGAATTTAAATATCTCATGAACGGTTGGATTTACGAAAATTTTTCGTTCCTGCTAATTTGTAGAGAACAGTTTTCTCCGTCGAATGGTGAATAATTAATTTTCCTAAGGTTATAAGTTTTTGAGTTTTAACAAAAATTTAAATTGAATTACATTTAATTTTTAATTATTACGCCATTATGTCAAATACTATTGAGTTTTGGAAAATTTTGAACGAATACAAATTTGTTAATCATAGTTTTTTATTGCCAACAAAGCAATTCCTATACTTTAATCTTTAACCATTCAGAAGTAATAGGGATAAATCTTCACGGCATACGATAGCCTGAATATGACAAAATCGCTAAGCAAAATACGGTTTGTTTTTCTCGGTCTTTTGACGTTTTGACAGTTAACCGTACTTATTCTATACCAAAAATGGGGCATTCTACTTGTTGCGTTGTGAATTGCAAAAATACAGACAAAAATAGTAGTTGCAAATTTTATACATTTCCAACTGCCAGTTGGAAATTAGAAAAAAGAGCGAAATGGATAGAAGCAGTTAAAACAAAAAAGTAAGTAATGTACAACCTAACTTTACCTTTTCTTATAATTAAAATAATATTTTTATAGTCTTGATGGATTACCGTGGATTCCAAAACCAAATGATTGCATTTGTAGCGATCATTTTATTGGAGGTAAAAAATCAGAAGAGGAGGCAAGTCCGCGCATTTTCTAAATTCTTTCACTTCTCTGACATGATTTGCCCTTACCAGTTGTTTTCCTTTGTACAAAGTTTTAGGTTGAAACAATATCTCATGAGATATTGCCTCAAATCCTGTTTGAATAATGATGTTCATT